TTAGAACCTTTTTAAACCCCAATTTGCTATGAAAGAACCTATTTTTAACTTTAAACTTTAGCTAACCCTAACCCTAACCTCTAAAATACCTACTAACCCTAATCCCTAAACTAATTATTAACAACAAGAATCACAATTACACACAACACCAATGATGACCAAAAGGCACACAGACCAGAAAACGAAACGCAAAAATTAATTATCCAAGTGAAATAACTATAATTATAATACAAAGCAATGCCACTAACTACAACTTAAAGAAAACATCAATAAAGACATTACCTACAACACCAACTACAACACCAACTATAGCATTAACTACAACACCAACTACAGCACCAACTACAGCACCAATGATAGCAACAACAACTATACCAACTACAACACCAACAACTAGAAATGATGCCACTAGTAAAACAGTATAACATTAATCTGCAAAGACTTCAAAAAACTGATAGCAATAAGCAGATATTAAATGCCAATAAAAAATAACACCAGCTGCCTAGAACAACATGTATCTACAAAATACACCAATGAGCTAACATCAGTATATGATGAAATCAACACCCAGATAACTACTAACAAATGACAAAATGACAATGCGGCATATAAATAAAAAAAAACCAGTTAGTAGAAAGAAGAGAAGAAGAAAGTAATAAGGACAAAGAAAACCAATATATAATACCAGTATAAAACAAATGTAATTACACTGGCAAATGACGAAAAGACAATCTAATAATGAAAAAGACTGGTAAGTAAAAGAAAAAAGTAAAAGTAACAAAAACAAAGAAAATTCAATACTTAGATAATTAACCAATAATGCGACACAGCTCTATAAAAAAAAGAAAATAAAGGAAACTGATTAGCAAAAGAAAAAAAAAATGTAAATAAAAAAAAATAATACTTATATACTGATCCGATTTGTGTAATCAACATATGCTATAGATGATATTTAATAAAATCATCTAGAATGATTTTTAAAAAATCTCTTTCAAATATTATTAAAAAGAATTTATTTAAATATTTTAAAATTTAAAAAATATAGATTATAAATATATTTATTAAAAATTTTCTAGACAAATTTGCTTAGAAAAGCTTACAGTTTAAGGGATAATAAAAAAGTACTAAAAGAATGAATTAAAAAAGCTATTTCTAAAGAATATATTAATATCTAGAATATAATAAATTTATAGAGCTTATAATAATTAGTATTAGAAACTTTGAGAAGAGTTTTAAATATGAGTAGAAAAATTATGATTTAATGATTGTTTTTAATTTTTTAACTTAAAGCTAATATATAAAGTTAGATAAAAACATTGTTAAAGTTTTTTTCAATAAGATATTTTATTATATTACTACTTAAGTTTCAAATTTATATCTTTATACTTTGTTTATTTACAAAATTTGATTTTCTTTTTGTTTGTATTAACTACACAAACAAGTAAACTGATATTTGGTATTGCTATGATACTAATTTTAAATCAGATAATAGAAAAGTATTAGCTAATGCTCTTTATAAGAATATTATCTTAATGACATTGTATCTTGCAATAATAATCTTGGATTAGAAGAAAGAAAAGCATTAGCTAGTGCTCTTTGCAAGAACATTAGATAATACTATATCTTTATGATACTAATCTTGGATCAAAATAGGAAGAAGAAAAGTATTAGCTAATACTCTTTACAGAAATATTACCTTAATGACATTTATTTTATAAGAATAATCTTAGATCAAATAAAGAAAAATATTAGCTAACACTCTTTACAAGAATACTACCTTAATAATATTGGGTTTTAATTTAAATTATTTTAGATTAGACGTTAAAAAAGCATTAGTTGATATTTTTTGCAAAAATATTACCTTAATAATATTGAGTCTTTATGATAATAATCTTGAATCAGAAGAAGAAAAAATATTAGCTAATGCTCTTTACACAAATACTAGCTTAATAATATTGTATATCAACAGTAATAATCTTGAATCATAAAAAGAAAAAGCATTAACTAGTGCTTTTTACAAGAACATTAAATGATATTATATCTTTATAATACTAATTTTATATTAGATCAGAAGAAAAAAAAGCATTAGCTGATGCTTTTGCAAGAATATTACTTCAATGATATTGTATCTTTATAAGAATAAACTTGGATCAAATAGAGAAAAAGCGTTAGCTGATACTCTTTGCAAGAATACTATTTTAATAACATTAGATTTTAATTTGAATAATCTTGAATAAGATATCAGAAAAGCATTAGCCAATACTCTTTACAAAAACACTACTTTAATTATATTGGATCTTAATAATAATAATCTTAGATCAGAAGGAAAAAAAGTATTAGCTAATACATTTGCAAGAATATTGCTTAAATAATATTGAGTTTTAACAATAATAATCTTGGATCAAAAAGAAATAAAGCATTAGCTGATGCTCTTTACAAGAATACTATCTTAATAACATTGAGTCTTAATGATAATAATCTTGGATTAAAAGAAAGAAAAACATTAGCTGATGCTCTTTGCAAAAATACTACTTTAATGATATTGGGTCTTAATAATAATCTTGGATTAGAAGAAGAAAAAGCATTAGCTGATGCTTTTTACAAAAATGCTATCTTAATGATATTGGGTCTTAATGATAATAATCTTAGATCAGAAAGAAAAAAGCATTAGCTAATACTTTTTGCAAGAATACTATCTTAGCAAAAATGCATCTTTATAATAATAATTTTGGTTTTACAATAAAATCTAATAATTTAAATATTACAATATATCAAAATAACTATTGTTTTATAAACAATATTTTTTTAAAATTATTTAAATAATATACAATATTGTAAATTAATATATGTTTAAATTTTAATAAAATTAAATATAATAAAATTAAAGTTTATATAGTTAGTTATTTAATTTTTTTGTAAATACAAAGAGAGAAAGAGATCTCAAATAATTTTGTTAGCTAGTATAGTAAATATTATCTATCGAAGTATTCAATATATTTTGACAAACAATTGACCTATATTAGCTAAAAAAAAAAGTTTACAAATACTCTATAATAAATTGTTAGATTGTCTATTATCCAGTTATCTAAAAAATTATCTTTGATGATCAGTAATTATTATTTAATCAACCTATTAAAAAATCTCACAAAAAAAGGAAAAAATACCAAATATCAGATAAATAGACAAATTAAATTGCATTAGATTAACAAATTTTGTATCTAAAATTATTAATTTTAATATTGGTAGCTATTGTAATTTCAATAATATATTTGCAGTTCTTTATATTTTAAAATAAAATTTATATAGTACAGGATAGTAAAAAATATACAATTTTTTTTTATACAAAGTGCCAAATTTACAATTATTTAATCAATTTTAATTGATTAATTTTATATAAAAAAATTAAATTGGTTAAAAAAATATAATCTATTTTTTTTATATAGTAAATATCAAATTTTTAATTTTTAATAATAAGCATTAACTAATAAAATTGCTAATATGTGATTTGTACTAAAAATAATTAGTTAATTTCATTGTGCTAAATTTCTGTTTTATTAATAAAATTACCAAACTTTGATTTCTTATAACTTTTGTAAAAAGCAAGATGTCTTACAAATTTGTAGTTTAGTTTATAAATAATAAATCTGTAAGTGGAATTTTTAAAATAATTATTTGTTATAAAGTTATTAGACATTTAACAATTGCTAAAAAATTGAATATTTTTTGCTGTTTTGTACTGAATAATTATGTATTTGCACTTATATTTGATAATTAATACCATATTAATATTATTATATATAGAAAGTATAATGAATTAATGTGTAAAAAATAATAGTATAATAAGTTTATATATAAAAAAATAAACAAAATTTGATGAATAAATCATACAGACCAATTAAACTCAAGCTTTTGCAGACAAATATTATTTCAAACAACATATAAACTATATTCTTTAAGATTTCATCACTCTATTCCTGATATGAGTGCTGCAGAGTGAAAAGCTAGAAGTGAATACTTGAAGATTTCACTATGGCGAATTTAGCCTCTGATGGATTATGATGTTACGTAATTAATCATGTGTACAATCAGGTTCGATAGTATATATCATCTTAATATAGAAATACAAATTAGGCTCATCGGCTCTATTAATTAACCAATTTTTAAAGTACGCATGTTACCGAAATTATCAGAACACTGATTATCAATACATAATGTTGCAATTCATCAGGGGCTAAACTCGCTATAATGAAATCTTCAAGTATTCACTTCCAGCTTTTCGCTCTGCAGCACTCATATAAATCATTGGGGTGTTAGATACTAAATAATTTACTGTTATAAGACAGCACTATATAATTGGCCTACTATTTAAGATTTTTAAAATTTTGTCAATCAATTTATTAAAAGAAGTTATTATATAATTTTATAATAAAAATGGTATTATTTTTAAAATGTTATAACTCTCGTTCTAATAGAGCAAATTCAATTATATAACTTATAAATAATATATAAACAATCTACTTTTAAAACTATGTTAAGATATTTTTTATTTCATTTTATTAATTTGGCTAAAATTACGAATTAACAAATTTTAACAATTATTTAAACAATTAAATTATAGAGAACTACTAAAATTTACATATTAATATTAAATACTGCAACATAGTTTTAAAAGCAAGCTATTTATACGCCATTTACACGTTACTGAATTAAATTTGTTTCACTAGAGCGGGAGTTATAATGTTTTAAAAATATTATTTAAACAATTATATTATAGAGACCTACTAAAATTCATATATTAATATTAACATGGCGTCTTAGTTTTAAAACAATGCTATTTTTATATCATCTGCAAGTTATAGAATCGAATGTACTTTACTAGGAAGGAAGCTATAACATTTTAAAAGTACATAGTTTTTACTACTATAATTTTTTTAACATAGTGGGCCAATCATATAATGCTACACTATGATAGTAAATTATTTGGTATCTAACACCCCATTATGAGTTCACCGGGGTGGCCCCAAAAGTGCGGGTCAGATGATAAGATGTCACAACCATTGCATAATTTCTTAAAAAATGGTTGGATCATCTGGCTTCCACATACAGCTTTATTATTGTAAAAATTTCTTAATCCGATTTATGCAACAAAGCAATATTCTGTACGTATACAATTGGCTATTGAGAAATGGCTATGCAATTATTCAGATTATGTGGCCCGCACTTTTGAGGGTGCTCTGGCGCAGGGATGGTAAATGATCTGAAATGATCCAAATGACAAATGACTAGTCATTCATCATTTCAAAGCTTAAATAACCTTAGAAGGTCATTTAACATATGTTAATTACTATTCTTATACCTTTTAACCAATCAGAATTGGCTGCCAAGCAAAATTAAATTTAACTGTAATATTCGAAAGTGAATTAATAAAAAGATATTCAATTTGCATGAAAATTTCAAATACACACAATTTATTATTTTGAACAGCTTTACTTAAGGCATAAATATTAATTGACTTAATAAAATATTAATTTTAATATATAGCTATGATTATGATTAGAAAAGTAATAAAGTTCAAAATGACCTAATGACCAAAATGACCTGGTCATTATTTGATGACTTAAGGTCATTTGAATTTTGATCAAATGATCAGGTTATTTACCATTCCTGCCCTGGCAAGCTCTTATTATTATTATATATAAAATGAAATAATTAATGCATCATTTGCATTGAGTACATATTTAATATTTTTAGGTGGTTTTCCTTTTTTGGTCGTCAATTTACTTAGCATTCAATTTAAGGGGTTTTTTCCTTTTTAATCGTTATTTATCATTTTTTTTATATATTTAACAGCTGTTCACTTAGCAAAAAATTTTTGAGTGCAATTCTGCTAGCGCTGTGCTTCGATATACTGCTCTAGTGTAAATAACCAGCGCAGCGCTCAGTATAGAGTACTATATAATCAGTTGAAATTTGTGAAACATGAAATTACTAAAAAAAGTTAACTCAAAGAAGATCAATTACCAAAAATGAGCAAAAAACCAACCAAAAATTTCTAAAAAAGTAATTTAGCATAGCACCAAACGCTAACAATTATTTTTAAGTGCTAATTTAATTCAAATCATTTATATTGACAGGAGTCAACGGATCGAAAAGACAGAGGAGAATGGTCAGGGGTTACACACCGTGTGCTACAACCTTGTTTGACACCATGGGTCGGGGATCGAAAGAGACATCAGACTTCAGAAATTTCATGCGAATAAAATGACGTAACTGAAAGCCACCAACTACAATCAGTATTTAAAGAATCGACAAATAACTGATTTGCGACACTCGTTCCAACAAACCAAGCATTACAACCGTCTCTTTTTTCTCGAATTAAACTCAACATGAGCCAAAACAATCTTTAACAAATATATCCTTCAATTATCTATAACAAATACATCCTTATCCTATAACAGATATATATTTACAAATGGTTCAACTTCTTTTTTTAAAAAAAAAAAAAAAAAACAGTAACTTGACCCACATTTAAAAACAATCTAACAAACTTACGGCTCACTCACTAAGCTCCACAATGTCGCTCTGCATAACAAAACTCTGTATAGCCTCCAAATATAATGAACTTAGCATTTAAACTTCATAACGACTCATTATAAAAGTGCTGGGCTATTAAAAAAAAAAAAAAAAAAAGAAAGAAAAAGAAAAATTCAAGAATTTCCTAGAATCACATTATCTTTAGACAGTTAATATATTACAATAGTCGCTCGACATGATACTCTACTATCCTCAATCAGTTACTGCAAGCAGCAAAGCGGACTACATGACAATGCTCCTAGCTGTAAATAAAGAGCAACGCACAAACCTACATAACTTTGATAAAGTCCCACACCCAACTTCCCAACTAGACTGAAACACACACTGATCTAAACATAAAATCATACACCAATGACTCAATTCGTCTACTGATATTAATGCCTAACTCTGCCAAGCATACGTCGAGCTTTGAATAAGCGATTTCAAGCAAATATTGATCTTACTTTGGTTCAAAAAGTTCAATCGAACATGTTCGGCAGCACTGTGAACTGCATAGATAGATCGTCTTAAGTCAATCTCATGAACCTCTACAACAATGATAAAAGCTAGCATGCTTATCAAACAACCCCCTAACAAACAAAGAAAAATAAGATCGCCCTGCCATTAGAAGGCCTTTGTAGATGCAGATTGCAAGTGCACCACACTAATTTTCTTTGGAATAAATTTTAAATCTTAGATTAAAGAAGAAAACACTAGTAGATACACTTGCAGAAGCAATACTTCAATATACCAGTACTAAATTTCTGACGCAGCCAGTTTAAATAAGGGCAAAGCACTAGCAGAAGCACTTTATAGAACATTGCTCCAGCCCATTGGCTCTCATAAAATAATTTGGACCAGCAAGAAAACATTGACAGATACATTTGCCGAGATCCTATGCACTTGATGCACTTTACAAGAATATCACGCTAACCTTTTCGAATTCATCATAGTAATCTTGGGCTTTTAAAAAAAAAAAAAAAGAGAGAGAAAGGGTGAGGAAATAATAAGTAGATACTTTTTCATACCCGAGCACTGGTAAGGATTTCCTGCTAAATTGTTTGGATAGGAAGAACTTGGCAATGCACATATTTATTTGACGATCTATAGTGTATCTGTTCATATTCAACGTGATCGTGTTGCAAATTTACCGATTAGCATAGTCGAATTATTAAACTCATTATGATGATTAAATTTTCACACCTATTACAACCCTTACACCTATTATAACTATCAAATCATTACAACAATTACACTTATTATAGCAAAATCACATCTTCGAGATGAAGGTTGCAACCTTCCAAACTCTAATAAACCCAATAAGGCACGCAATTCTAATGTTAACAACTCTAATATCAACAAGTACCAAGCCGCAAGAAGTGATCAATGCCACTTGACTTGCCGTATAAAGTAAACTCTTATAACTATAAATCAGAAGGAAATAGACTAAAGTTTAGAGAATAGAAACTGCATAGACATATGATACATGATACATCTCAGAAATAATTTCTAACTTAAGCTGTTACTGTTCAGAGAATCATGATTATCAAAAAAAAAAAAAAAAAAAAAAAAACTTAAGCTTACACACCTTATACAAGGATTCTCAAGAGAAACAAGACCAAATTTGTATAGGTGACTTTTCAGAGTACTGGTTTCTACGTAAGGCATTTCCGACCAACTC